TAACCAAACAGTGATATACTGTAGTCACACAGGTGACAGTAACCAAAAAGTCATATACTATTGCCACACAGGTGTCAGTTATCCAACTGGCTCCTTCCACAGAAGTGCTTGAGGAAGGAAGAACAGATATAAAAATGTCTGGCATGGGGACTCTTAAGGACTTACAGTCGCTGTGGGAGCCCACAGAAGTGGATCTGCTCCACCTTGACTAAAGGTTGGAGAGTTCACACCTATTCTTGCTCCTTCAAGGTTAGATGACAGGTTTGACCCAAGGTGTGGCTAATAACAGGATATTTTGACCTAGGGTGAGGTTACTTGATGCTTTGGACATTGAGAAAGTAATTACTTTGTTCTTTGTATCTTGATAAAGAAGCCTCTTGCCGTTCCTCTCCTATTTGGAATAGGGTATATAAAGCCTATGAGCAGCAAACATGGAGCAAATCTCATAATTTACTAGCTGCCCTCCTGACTTTATCAATCGTCTCTTACCTATCTTTTTCTTAATCCTCACACTTCCCTCCAAGCACGGACGAATGAACTAGGCAGGACCCAGCTGATGATATTGCCCGGGTGAACGATACGACAGCAATTAGCTAACAGAACCTTCTAGAGGCCAGGGAGAACCTGGGGGTGAGGTTGCTGAAGAGGGGAATAGGAAAAGTAGGGGCGGACACAGCTGAGTCAAAACAGTCCCAGCCCTTGTGACCCACCTGGTCAACCGGCACCTCCACCTTCACCTCTGGATCCTCCCTGACTTCCAGTGCTTCCAGTGCTTCCTGGGTCTCCTTATCCAGAGTCTGCGCTTTATAGACATCACCCTCTAAGGGGAAATAACAAACAATCTTTGCAAACCAGCAGAAAAACTCATCCCCAGTAGACATTTTCTGAAACAAATCAAAATTTCAATTCAGCAGCTCCTGAGCTTCCTGTACCATCAGACAGAAAGAAGCCCAGACAGGGTCCCTGCATTATCTACATACCCATCTCTCCCTACTCCCCTCTCCCTCTCCTCTCTCTCTCTCTCTCTCTCTCTCTCTCTCTCTCTCTCTCTCTCTCTCTCTCTCTCTCTCTCCCCCCTTTCCCCTCTCTCCCCTCTCTCTTTTTCTTCATCTCTCTTCTTTTGTTCTTGCTTCTATAGAGGCCTCAGCTCAGTGGGCCCCAATTTTCGCAGTGTCTGTCTAGTTTCTATCTCCATGAAAGTCCTGGCCCCTTGAAAATTTGAGCAATTTCTCCATCCAGAGGTCTCCCAAACTACCCAGATGCTGCAGAGCAGCCGAGCAGCGTGGGCGGGACTTCTCCCACCTGCTTCCTGTCTGCACCATAACTAGACACTGCACCAAGCCCTTCCCTGGGTTTGTTAGACTGAAGAGTGAGACAAGCCTCAGGAAGAGCATCATCAGACATAAACACCCGAGAGCACCTGACAGAGAGGACAGCACAGCAGTAAGAATGAGAGTAGGCATGGCGAGAGCCATTTTAACTGTTTCATTTTACAGTCAGGTCTGAATCTCTCTGCTAAGGGTACCCAGGAACAAGCTAGATGTCTGCTATGTTCGAGGTTCCCTTCTAAAGTCAGGCTGGATTGATATCTGTTCTTACAGCAGGAATATCTGTAGTCCTCATATGCATGCGAACATGGAATTTACTTTAGATACGACGTGTTTGAGTTCCCCCTGCCCTCAGCTTTGAAATGTTACTGTTCATGTGGCAGCCTACTCCTGCCCCACAACTGAACACACGTTGCAGAAAAAGCTTTGTCTGAGACACACACCATACATACACACACTTTATTACACATACACCTTGCAAGCCATACATATACACACTACACATATACCACATACCTCCTACATATGCACACCATATACACACATGCACCACACACATCAAACATATACACACTATACATATACCACACATACCATACATATACATGCTGTACATATACATACACCACACATCCCATGCATATATATATACTATACACATACCACACACCCCATACATATATACATTATACATATACATACACCACACATCCCATACATCTATACACACACATACACCATACATCAAACATATGTAAACTGTGCACACATACACCACACACCATACATGCACACATAATGTACAAAAGACACTATGCACACCATACATACTGCATATGCACACACACAGAGAGAGAGAGAGAGAGCACTCTTCACAGCCTGTAGGAAAGGAACTGCCCCATTACCTGCACCACTTTGAACTAAGGGTCCCGGAGCTGTTTCCTTTTTCTCTTTGGCATAATAAACCGAATCCTGGCTTTTAGGTGGTATGCTGTCATTTTTGAGAGGTTCTTTGTCTTTGGGCTCCACCTAACATGCAGATTAAGAACAAAAGATGTTAAGAATAGACTCCCCCTTGAGTCCTCGGACCTTGGGATGGACAAGGGCAGGAAACCCAGGAGCCCAAGAAGCCTCCAAGGATCTCACCACTCTTGTTCCCTTCTGAAGGAGGTAAGGGGGCTATGCTGTGCTTCCTTCCCCAATCCACTGCTAGAGAGGTCATTTGGCTTTCCAGCCTAGGGTGGGATTGGGTGTTATGGCACAAAGGGACTCCTCATCCTTTGGGACAAACTTTGAAGCCTACCAAAAGCTGCTGCTCAGAAGCACAAAAATCTCAAAAATTCAACCATGCCACAGATAAGTAAGGGGAACTGGTATTTAATTTTTACAATCTTTATACTATCTGTAGACAATGGCAAAATGGTCCTCATAAAGCTTAAGGTTCTTAATGTCCCCCAACCCGATCATTAGCTGTCTTCATGCTGCAAATAATATTTTTTATGCATCTTAGTTCAAGTATTTGAAGGCAAATTCAGCCAAACGTATAAACGTTCACTTCAGACAAGGGACTGAATAAAATGTTCCTGCTGGTTTTAAAGAGTACTGCATACGCCAGAGTTGTGTTGTAAGTACAGAAAGCAAGGCCTCAGCAGAACTGGTGTCAGGAGCAACATTCCAGCACACTGTAGTGTGCCCTGCTCAACACTGACAGTATATGAGTCCAAAGCTCTACACTGTGCTTGTGAATGGCTCACTGAATTTCCAAGAACCTCTGCTTTGTACTAGAAGTACGTTTTAAAAGACAAATTTCAAACTTAAAAGATGATCCATGCTCAGTCCCACAGAGTGCTGATCTGAGCACATGTGGTCCGGATGTAGAGACCGCCGTGCCATGCCACGAACATCTCTGCGTGCCTCCTTGTTCTAGGCTCTGAGCTTCACAGAAAACTGTCCTCCTCCTCCCTCTCCCATGGGTTGGTCTGGCTCCTCCCAGTGACCTGAAAGCTATTTGCTACCACGGGCCCTCAGAGACCAGGAGACACCAGAACCAATAACAGCGGTTAGTCGTCTTTCAAAACTTACTTTCTTCTTTGTTTGTGGGTATTTATCATTGCCCCCAAACCTCCTGAAAGGCAAAGACAGGCAGTTAGTACATTCAAGCTCAGCCCAGACTCACCCTGTCCCCATAAACTACAGGAGCATCCTTGACCTAGAAAAGGTCCTGCTCTCTACACAAGATCTAGCCAATGACCACAGCCATCTCCTAGGTGGTCATTTCAAAGGCCAGGAGGTCTTTGAAAGTCAGAGATTTATTAGGGATATGCCTGTCCCAGGGTAGCATGGAAACAGGGTTTAGGATGCTGGAGGGAGCCAGACTTTTTTTTCTTATTTTATTTTTAAAAAAAACTGTCTTTTTTTATTTTACATACCAATCCCAATTCCCACTCCCTCCCCTCCTCTCAGTTCCCTCCACCTTTCCCCTATACCCCCCCATCCACTCCTCAGGGTAAAGCACATTGCTCTGAGGGAGGACTAAGGTCCTCCCTACTATATCTATGCTGAGCAAGATATCCCTCCAAAGAGAATAGGTTCCAAAAAGCCAGTATAAGCAGTAAGGATAAATCCTGGTCCCACTGCCAGTGGCCCTGAAATCTGCCCCAGCCATACAACTGTCATCCACATTCAGAAGATCTAGTTTGGCCCTATGCTGGTTCCTTCCCTCTCCTGACAGAGTTGGTGAGCTCCCATTAGCTCGGGTAAGCTGTTTCAGTGGGTGTCCCCATCATGGTCTTGACCTCTTTGCTCATATTCTCGCTTGTCGCACTCTTTGACTGGACTTTGGGAGCTCAGTCCAGTGGGGAGCCAGTCATTTTAACAGTTTTGATGCTTTCCAAGGCATGCATTATTCACATAGCTCTCACTTGTTCATGTAGCTCTCGCCATTACCCAGTAAAGCAAGAACCTGCTGGCTTCTCTGCAAGGAACCAAGACACTTCACCCCGCAGAGCTGACCAGTGGCAGAACTGAGATTCAAACCTGCCTGTCCCCACCCACCACATGTGTCTGTTCTGACTGGTCATTTTGCATGCTTCCATGCACTTTCCTAACTCACGGACACTGAGGCCTTCACCGGCAGCTGCTTACACACTGGACATGCCTCTCTGACACCATTCTCCAACAGGAACTTCCCTGGGTTGTCTGTATCCCCTGTGTAGACTCTGGGCTCTCAAGGACTATGTATTACTCCATGCCTGATTTTAGAAATGCCAGGTTCAAATTATATGTGTGTGCACATATGTAAGCATATTTATATAAGCATAAATGAGAGAAGGGGAAGGAGGGAGGGAGAGAGAGAGGGAGAAATAGAGAGAATATATAAGTATAGATAGGTAGGCATAAGATAGAGAGAGAGAGAGAGAGAGAGAGAGAGAGAGAGAGAGAGAGATAATATAGATAGATGATAGATGATAAAGATAGGTAGGTAGGTGAATTATAGATAGATGATAGATAGATAGATAGATAGATAGATAGATAGATAGATAGATAGATAGATAACACATCAAGTTTTACTACTAAAAAGATCAGTATCTGAACTCAACATGTTTTGGAAAGGGCTTAGGAAAGAGACAAATATCAGCAACACTCAAAAAAGAAAGGCACAGAATTCAAGATGGCTCAGTGGGTAAAGGCACTTGACACTAAGTCTGACAACCTGAGTTAGATCCTCAGAGCCCACAATGTGAAAGAAAAGAACTGACTCCCACATTTATCCTCTGATCTCCCCCATGAATGATATGGCATGTACCCCCTAGATAAATATATAAATGGATAGGTAGGTAAAAGATAGATAGATAGATAGATAGATAGATAGATAGATAGATAGATACATACATACATACATACATACATACATACATACATACATAGATACAAAGATAGATAGATATGTAGATACATAGATACATAGATGCATAGATACATAGATACATAGATAGGATGCATGTTGGGTGGATGGATAGACAGACAGATAATTTTTTAATTTAAAGGAAAGGTAAAAGTTATACTCACTGCTGGACCTCACTGGGGACCCGTGGGGACTTCCAGTAAGGAATATATTTGAAAGTCTCCAGTCCTGCAGCAACATAAAAAGAATTGTCTTGCAAATCCTTTGAGTTGTCCAAAAGATGCCCGTCCATCGTATACAACCTGTGAACACAGGAAAGAAGATGGGACAGGATTTGGAAAATGGCAGCATAGAACATGGAATACTTTTTCACCTGTGGTAATGGCCAGCATGTCAAATATCTGAGAAGCTGCACTCCCCAGCAAGCATGCAAAGGGGGGAAGCTGCACTCCCCAGTGAGCATGCAAGGCAGAGAAGCTACACTCCCCAGTGAGCATGCAAAGCGGGGAAGCTGCACTCCCCAGCGAGCATGCAAAGGGGAGAAGCTGCACTCCCCAGCGAGCATGCAAAGCAAGGCAGGAAGCCTGTGGAAGCCACTTTTCCTGAACTGCACACTTTCCACTTAGAGCTTTTTAATTAAAGTGTATTTTTCATTATGCACAAGTCCTCAGAGGATCTTGAGAACATGATCAGCTCTTGGTTGGTATTCAATTAATTTTAACTAGTAGCAGCTAAAATTAATACAAATTGGCTTACATTGTTGTAACAATACTTTGGAAAGAAATCAGCATTTGTTAGCAAATAATGGGCCTTTTTATAATGACCCAATGACTTCATTCAATACTCTTTGGCAAGTACTCACTGCCTGGTTAATTTAGGAAAAGATTCTATTCGCTCCACTGTCACCCTGTTACATACAGAAACAATGACGAGGTTCTACGCAAATGGAAATGACAGCTCCTCAGAGTCAAGGGTCCTAGCAGCCTATGAAGGTAAGTACAAGGTGCTCAGTCTGCTGTCTCCCGAAAACTCATGTGTAGATGACATGATTCCCAGCCCAAAGCTCTACTGGGAGGCAATGGGACCTTTAGGAGGTAGAGCAGGTATGAAGAAGCTGGACTAATAGAGTCAGACCCTTGGAGGTGTATTAGGACCACACCCCCTTCTCTGCTGCCGCATAAGGTTAACAGCATCTTCAGCCATGTACTTCCACCATTATGTGGCGCCTTGGCACAGGCCCAAAAGCAATGGGCCAAAAATTGTAGCATGAAACCAAGGAGGCCACGAGCAGAGGCAAACCCAGTGAGACTGTGAGCAGAGGAAAACCCAAGGAGACAGTGAGCAGAGGAAAACCCAAGGAGGCGGTGAGCAGGGGCAAACCCAATGAGACCATGAGCAGAGGAAAACCCAGTGAGACCGTGAGCAGAGGAAAACCCAGTGAGACCGTGAGCAGAGGAAACCCAAGGAGACTGTGAACAGAGGAAAACCCAAGGAGACGGTGAGCAGGGGCAAACCCAATGAGACCATGAGCAGAGGCAAATCCTTTCCCATACCAAGACGGTTACCTTGGGTATTTTGTTATAGAATAGAGAGCTGACTAACATGGGTTTCAAGAGGAAGAAGATATAATTCAACCATGGGCTTTCCAAACACAAAAGGAACTTTGTCTTGAAGAATGGAGGCAGGCTACCCACGTGTAGAAGGAGGTGAAGCATCCTGGAGTGGCCAGAGGGACCTATATAGAAACCCACAACCCAGGGGTCTGCCTGTCCCTGAGGGCAAAATGCCAACAGGACACATAAACATAAGCTGAAGGAAAATTAACAAAGAGCTTGCATTCAGGGAGGGGCGTTCATTGTTAGACGAAGGAAGAAGGAAATTTCCGTGGAGTGGAGAATAGGCTAGCCGCTGTAGGTAAGATGCGACAGATGGCCCTCTGTGTCATCTGCTGCAGCCATGTAGGACAAGTCCAGAAGAAGGAAAAGAAAGTGGACGCAGGACACCAGAAGCAGATGGAACCCCCCACAGAACTAGCCTTCCCTCCAGGGCCCCTCTGATCCCTGGGAGGCCACTGAAACATAAACTGACTCGTGAGCCCAGGTCAAGTTTGGGGCATTTCAGTTCTAGCAAGTGTCAGATTGTGTTGGTACTGCTCCTGGACTCCCTCCTGAGAACCACTGCCTTGGCTCAATTCTGGAAGAAACACAGGAGAGCATGGTGGACAGGAGACCCAGGAGAGCCACGGGCAGAGCAGGTGCTAGGATACGGCAGAGGCTTCTGCGGGAAACTCGAGTCTAGGAGTCTACTCTCATCCTGCTATGGTCTCAGGACAACTGAAGTTTATCCAGATACTGCTGGATACAATGGGGAAAAAGACAAGGAAGTGAGAGGTCTCTGAAGGTGAGGGCTGAGGGAACACTTCTGTGGGTGTTTAGGTCAGAGGACAGTGAAATATCCTGGGCCTAACAAGACCTCGGAAGAGGCACCACAGCCTGATAGTTCCGGCGAGGAAGAGGTTTGATTAAGGACTGGAAAGCCCAGGAAACACAGAACAAGCCCAGTGGGGAGGCTATGGGACACAGGCACAAATATTCAAAAGGCTAAGGTCAGAGAAACACAGCTGTACGATAGGGATGCTGAGACCTGAGGGCTCACTCAAAGCCATTATCAGTCTTATGAGGCAGATGACAGCATACCAAAGAGATGTCATGCTGGGACCAGAAGTGTTAGAGTGGTCAGACAGAATTCTCACAGAATAATTGGGAAAGATTGCCAACAGGAAATAAATGGGGCAGGGGGAAGACAAAACAGGAGAAATGCAGATTTGAAGCTAGAGTAGTAAACAAAGAATTATGAGGTGGGTGATGGGATGGACAGAGAGACCCAGGCAACAACCAAAGAATGAACACCCACCCAACAAAGATGAGACCAGAGATCTACACCAATAAAACTTTAAATATCATAACACCAGATGCCTAGATCTCAGTCCAAAAACACAAACATGGACAACCATGACAATATGCCTCCTACAGCAACACGTGATGGCCTTTCCCTATGACCATACCTACCCAGACTTCACCTTCCATCACAACTGCTCCTCTGTGATCACATGCAACATGCTACATGCCAGATGAAGTACTGAGCATGTATGATGACTTTTAGAAAGCACTAATATCACTTTCCAGATGAAGAAAAAGGTATCAAAGAAGTAGGTATTCTTATGGTCACAAAAGTACAGGTGGCAGAAGACAGACTCAACCCTAAAGCCCTGCTTAGAGACTGTGATTCTGGGCTGATTCTGAACCCCTTTGCCCTAGAAAAGCAAAATTCCTGACTCATCTGCTGAGTTTTGCCTTAAAGACTGATTCCCCATGTGGTTCCCTACCGTCTACGGGTCACCTCCTCCAGCTGCTGCCCAAGTCAGGGGTCTGGGAAGCAAGGTTCATTGTTGTTCTTTTGTGATGGCTGTTGTTGTTGTTGTTGTGTGAACAATGAGTAGTGCATATGGGAAACCAGAGGACAGCTTTCCAGAGTCAGGTTCCCCACTTCTACCCTCACAGGGGTTCCAGAAATCAAACTCAGATCACTAAGCATACATAGCAAGCGCCTTACCCATCGAGCCATCTGACCTGAGGTCCCTCCTTATGACACTGTGCCCTCTGCACAGAGCTCATGGACAGTGCTCAGTGTTTGGGGAACAGATTAATGAAACGAACTTCAAATAAAGGTGGGACACCCAGCTCTCACCCTCCAACCCCTGATTTCCCGTGAGAGGGTCTTACTTCCGAACGCCTCCCAGAGGGAAGACTTTTTCTCCAATTATGGCCAGCACACTGCTCCAATCTGATAGGCTGAATTTGGGTATAATAATTTTTATAGGTGGGATAAATAATCTTCCGTTTGTGAAAACACTGTAGGGATAAGAAGAAAAGAGCACCATTACCACCTTAAAAGTGAGGGGGAAAACACTTACAACCCAAAGGAAAAAAATAGATGTATTTATAGAAATGTGAAAATATTCTGATGCACTGATCAACCCTTAACAAGATACCAAGTCCTACAGAACAGTCTTCAAGTCTGCTGCCATAACAGAGGTGTTAGTAATATACTGTTTTGTATTGTATTGTATTGCATTGTATTGTGGCGGGGTCTCATGTAGCCCAGGCTGGTCTCAAGCTCACTGTGCAGCTGAGGATGACCCTGTGCTTCTGGTGCTCCTGCCTCCACCTCCCAAGCACTGAGATTATAGGCATACGCTTCTGGTTTACACGCTGCTAGGCACAGAGCCCAGGGCTTCAAGCTGGTGAGACCACACTGTAATATCTGAGATCTGCCCACGGCTCAGACAGTACTTTTCCATATAGGTAAAGGTGCCCAAATGAATGGGACAAAATTCTACTTCTTAAAAACAATATGTTTCAGCTGGGCAGTGGTGGCACACACCTTTAAGCCCGGCACTTGGGAGGCAGCGGCAGGTGGATCTCCATGAGTTTGAAGCCAGCCCTGTCTACAAGAGCTAGTTCTAGGACAGCTAGGACTGTTACACAGAGAAACCCTGTCTCAAAAAAACAAACAAACAACAAATAAAATACACACACACACAACCAAAAAAAATCTGTTTCCTATGTGGTTAAATTAAAAGAAAATAGTAACCTATTAGAAAATTAAAGGAGAATTATATATGAAAAATATAGTCATACCCCTTGTCACAGAGGCTAGAGAGACACCCAGAGCTGCATGGTCCTCTGACGGTTGACAAAACACCTGGCCTCAATCCCAGTCTTCAGGCAGCCATGTGACTTCAATAGGTTTAGCTCATTAATGCTATATGGAGAAGTTTCTTCCAAACTCAAAGATTCTATTTCATTTGCTACGCCCCAGGAATTACCACTCTTTGAAGATAGTTTCAAAGGCTCATCATTTTCATTAAATTAAGGTAAAGTAGACCATGTGTGGTGGCACACACTTGTCATCCCAGCACATGGGAAGCTGAGATCAGAATATAATATGATCTAGGCCAACCTGGACCACACAGAAAGAACCTGTCCCAAAAAAAAATGTATAATGTACAAGGCTTATTTCTTTTAGCCTATGCTTTCTTTAACACTGTTGTGAGCTCAGCTGTAGAACTCTGACTTGCGAGATTCTTTGTAATCTCTTGGATCTTGGATTTTTTTTCCTTAAATGTGAATAACTTAGACTGTAGTAAATATATTTTCTTCTCTGAGAGACTACAAACACTGGTTGAGTGTGTTGTCCCAATGGATGAAATTTACTTCCTCCACTAAATCTCTGGGGCAAGAGAGACTTGCAGCCAGCCAGCACCAGCCTCCAGCTTCTTTGGTATTTAAAAAAAAGGAAAGGGGAGGAGGTGGTGCAGAGCTGGCACAGCGTTTCCAACAACTGCAAGTGATTGATGTCAAAAAATCTTTCTACACAACAGAATCCATAGAGACAGCTAACCCAGGCTCATAGGCGCTCACGGAGTCTGAACCAACAGCTGAGGAGCCTACATGGGACCAAACTACGCCCTCTACATACGGGTGACAGTTGTGTAGCTTCATCTACTTGTGGGATTCCTAGGAATGGGAGAAGGTCTGTCTCTGATGCTTTGGCAGACTTTTGGAAACCTATTTCTCATAATGGGTGGTCTTGCCCAGCCTTCATACAAGGGGAGGAGCTTAGTCATACTGCAACTTGATATGCCGTGTTTTGTTGATGCCCATGGAGGCCTGCCCCTTTCTGAACAGAAACAGAGGAGTGGATGCAGGGGCTGGAGGGGAGGTGGGGGAGGGAATGGGAGGAGAGGAAAGAGAGGAAACTTCAGTAGGGATGTAAAATAAATAAATAATTTTTTTAAAAAAATCTTTCTAAATACAGATTAACAAAAAAAGTGCTTTAACACAAGCGTGTTATATTTTGCCTGTATTTTTCAGGCTGTGTGTGTGTGTGTGTGTGTGTGTGTGTGCACAAACAAGCAGAGGATAAAGGGCAACCTTGGCTAAACATTGTCCAGCTTTTTTTTCTTTGAGACAGGGCCTGGAACTCTTCAAGGAGGTTAGGTTGGGTGGCCAGTGAACCCCAGCACTCCACCTTATCTCTGTACTAGAATTACAAGCACTGGCCACCATGCCCACCTTTTTCCAAGCTGCAAGTTGAATTGAATAGGAAAGTCCTTCAAAACAAAGTCAAAGCCATGGTCTCTAAAACTGCATGACCCTTTCTCTCATCACTCCACCCCTTCTGGACAGTGAGGTCATGAGTAGGCATGTCTGTCCATCTCTCAAACTTCCCTGACCTGACACACTCAGCTAGCATACAGCAGCAGGAGTCAGAGTGAAGCACAATTAGACAGCTGGACAGCTGGACTTCCTGTTCTCTGTGAGAACACATGTATACATGTGCACCTGCACATATGTGAACATACATACATGCACAAATACCAAGCATACGAAATAAAGTGGGGAAGGTTGGAAGATGGTTCAGTCAGCAAGTGCTTGTCTTGCAAGCATGAGAATCTCAGTTTGATCACCAGAATTCACATATTTAAGAGAGAGAGAGAGAGAGAGAGAGAAGAAAGGAAGGAAGGAAGGAAGGAAGGAAGGAAGGAAGGAAGGAAGGAAGGAAGGAAGGAAGGAAGGAAGG